AGGTGAGGGGAGCACTGCCTGGCTTGACCCGAATAGAGGCAGCTTATCAGGGAAGCAGAAAGCGGCCCAACTAGATGATGTCACTGCCACGGAGCTCAAGAGTGGACCTAGCGAAGAGAGAGAGGAACCCAGCTCGACTGAAGCGACCAATAGCCCAGGGTAGAGGACCTAACTCTTGAGTCGAGAGGAGGACTCACCCAGTCTACCTAGATCAGAAGGGGTAACCCAGCAGGGCCCAATAAGAGACAGTCCACTTGTGCAGCTGGACACGGTCTCATGCTCTCTATCTCGATAGAGAGTGTGGGTCAGGTATAACCAGACATGATAGAATCTGAAGAAATAGCGGGACCCAATAACCATTCATGTGTATAGAGCTTACTGCTCCTCAGAGCAGAAGCATACAAGAGGGGTTTCTGCAGAAACACAAATCCCTCTTACCTCAGGGAACGCAGTGTACTCCAGCCCACTCCAAAGGGGGGTGATTATTGGTTCAACCATAAGGGAAGTGTGACAGTGAGGACCCACGGGCCCGACCGTCTATGTAGCATTGAGCTCCTCAATGCGTCAGCGAGAGGAGCTCTAGCTCAGAGAACGTGCATGAAGGTTAAGGAACGATTCAAATCTTGGGAGACCCCTCAGGGTGAGAAATTAGTAGTTCACACCTGGCCAGAGGATAGGGAGCATGTCATGAAGCATGTACTCAGAAGAGTACTAGCCCACGAGAAGGACCCACAGGTCCTGAGGTTGCAGCGTTATACTGGGGACCTGATGCTGGGGGACCTCCTCAGAAGGAGCCAGAACCGATGAGTGAAACCATCACTGTAATCGGTCAACAGCAGGAGGGTCCGAGTAGCACTGCAGAGAAAGGCTAGCATCAAATACACAAGAACTAGCAGTAGAGTAGATAAAAATGGATCATCCTCACCAACCATGGTTCCCACGCATGACTCAGGCTCATGATATAGGCTGTAGGCGAAGTCCGAAAGCCTGGACCCTCGTGGTTTTTTCAATGAAGGATTTAAAGGCAGCCGAGCACATCTTGGCCTCCTTAAACCTTATGACCACCATCTCGACGGAAGTACCGAAAAGCTCAGACGAGGAAACCGGCGCATCAAGAAGAAAGCCCTTCTCTTTCGATCCGATATCCACCAGACTCACCCACAGATGTCTCTCTGTAACCACCATGGCTGCCATTTTTTTGAATCTGCCAATGACAGTGGCACGGACAGCAAGATCCGTGGTGCAACGCAACTCAGCATCCTCATCAGGGGATAGACCCTGCCTTTATCCTGGTCTTTCAGCAGATCAGCCTGAAAAGCCTGAAGCACCACCATGGTGTGCAACGAGACTTCAGCCTGACCTGCTGCCGTGTATGCCCTACCATTCAAACAAGATGTATTTTTTCTGAAGGGGTTTGGATGGCAGGGAGGGAGCCTTAAGAGAAGATGTCTCCCCCATGGAGAGATAGCAGGCCAGCGTCTCTTCAACAGGTGGCATCTTTTCATAACCATTCTCACGCATCCCCTCGATGTTGGCAT